AAATTTCCATAACTTACCAAAGGACAGATAAATTTATTATTACCTCCAATGTTGACCATTTCAATTGTGTATAGTAGATAGATAGCTAACTGTAACCATTTATCAGAATCACTTTATTTGCATTCCTTACTTGACAGTGCATTAGTTGCTCATTAAAATGTTAATATGTTACTTTCACGAACTATCAATCCAAAGAATCCAAAACCCCGTCTTTATGACAATTACTATAATTTGCCTGTCATGTCCAAATTGTGAATCATAAGTTAGTATAAATTGTGATTTTTTACATTCTTACAGATTAAAATTTGCAGTCCCACTAAAAGAAGGTCTAACATGTCTCAAAAAATGGCAAGGGTGTGGACTCAAGAAGAGGAATTCACTCTGGTTGATGGATTAAAAAAGTTGTGTGCTAATGATTGGAAAGAAGATAATGGAACCTTTAAACATGGATATTTGATGGAACTGGAACAACACATGAATGTTTGTCATCCTAATTGCGGATTGCAAGCTCTACTACATATTTTTTCAAAAATAAGAGGGTGGAAAAAGCATTATATGACCATATCGTTGGCAAAAAGTCGAAGTAGCTTAGGATTTCGATACATCAATGGAACTATCTTGGTTGACGATCCAAAAGCTTGGGATGACTTCATAAAGGTGATTTACAATTGTTTAAATTATTAGTAAACTAAAGCTAGTTAATTATATTTTCTCTCGGTGAATATGATTTCTGTCTTTGGAATATTATTAGTTACTTCATATACTTGTTTCTTTTTTTTTCTTAGGTTGATCTATATGCCAAGTCAATGACATTTAAGAAATGGCCATTATTTGCTGATTGGGAAGAAATATCTCTCAAGGATGGAGCTACTAAATAATCTGCTGAGGGGACATAAGTTGGTGTTCAAGATTAATATTTGATAACTCGCTTGTCGAACAAATTATTCTAATCACAATTCATGATACAATATAATAATAATGAGAAGAAAATTCAAAATAAACTTAATAAAATTGTGAAATTCATATCAAACCTCATCATCAAAATATACCATTGTTTTAATATGTTCAGGGCTTCAGTCCTATATATTGAGCAAGAACATTTAAGAGTTTTAATTATATAAAATCACCGATCAAAAAGGAAAAAATAGCAATCATTAAAAGATGCACATGAAGATGAAGTACTTAATAAAGTATTAGTATCATTGACCCTACTAAGTAGGATTTCGTGCAAAAGATAGAACGATAAAAACTCTTTCTAAATTTTGTCAAGCCTACCTGCTCATTTGTTTCAAATTAGAGTTTATATTTAAGATCACACTTTTAAGATGCGTGTGGTAAAATATTTCAAATTCAATATGTCACGCCCCGAGCCTACACCCTGGGCGAGACTGACACTCGAAGACCATTGCTGGCCCCAAGCGAACCCTTGGCCTGACTTACTTAACTCAACGGAAGACAATATTCATACTTATAATGATAAATAACACTTAACTGAACTGAATAATAAAATTACTGAGAATGTTTAAAGGTTAAACATTCAACTTGGACAAAAGTGGCAACCCAAGTCTTAACAATAAGAAATGATAATGAAAAAGACTCAAAAGACTAACATCTGACTGTCTATGAAGCCTCTAAAACAACTGAGATGGATGT